TAATTTCCCGCTGCATCTCGAGACGGGAAGTAAAGTCTCAAAGTGGGGGGGCGGCAATGCTTTGTTGTCTCGAACAGGTGTCCTCATTGGTTGATTTTTGCATCGCCTCTTGTTCTGGATACATATCTAAATTGTTTACATTTTCTCACTTTTGTTTCTTTGACAGAGGTCGGCAGGACAAAGGGTGAATCTTCCCAATGCTGTCAGATCTGTTTTAAATTTTGAGTCTAACACTCCCACACTATCCAAAATCCATAGCTAAAGCCTTGTTTTGTAGTGGAATTTATACCAATGGCAGAGCGTTTATGCTAGTCTGACGTCCATGTTGCTGATATGTGGATACCATGCATGGGCTCCCTGGCATTGTAGACCCTTCAGTACTGTAAGATTTAATGTAGTTGCATGAATATACTTATGGCAGTTTAAGACCTGAATTTTTTTTTTTTTTTTCCTTTCCCCTTTAGGTGGGGACCAGGGTTTGTTAAACACATTTTTCAACACATGGGCCACACAAGATATACAGAAGCATCTACCTTTTCTTTACAACTTAAGCAGTGTTTCTATATACTCTTATCTGCCAGCTTTCAAAGCGTAAGTACAATCTTAAATCTGATGTGACGTTTTCTAAACCCATAAAGTACTGCCAATTATGGTTTTGTGTTCTATTGTATGCTACCTGGAAGTATAGGAGACTGTGCACTGGAAATTTAGATATTTCTGAAATGAGAAATTGGGAGCTTCCCTCTTGCAATCCTTCTAAAAATGCTAGCTGCCTGGCAGTTATAGACTTTTTAGACCATGGCTTCAATAATTTGAATCACTGCACCGGAGTAGGTAAGTGGAGTAGTCATGTGTGGGTTTTTGCTTGAGAAACGGGGAAGTTGGACACTGATTTATAACACTAATAATGCGGACTCTTCAGTATTTGCAAAAGTTATGGGCCTGGAAACAAATGCAACCCCCACATCTAAGGACGTATAAGATGCATAATTACATTTTTGAGTTTAGATTTACTTTAAGGGCTAATTCACACTTTAAGTGTTATACTGTGACTCTTTCATAGATGCCTTGACCCCTTTTTATTACAAGAATGGGGCTCATTGCTAGAAAATTAGCACAAAAATGTCTCCTATTCCACCTACATTCTCTGTGATGGAATATGGTTAACTCTGCCTTCGAGAGGGACACATTGGTCATCCCAGATTTTAATCTGTTTGATAATTGGTTAGCTTCCCGTGTTGGTTTCAACCCAATGTATTTTGAACTGCTTAGTAACTTCATGAGTTATGACAATTTTTTTTATTGACGTTAAAATGCAGTTTCTGGTTCCCTTAATGGGCTCCAAACACACAAAGGATGACTAAGTGCATGACTTGGTAGCATTACCACAACACAAGTGTGAACGTGCCCTCAGTCTCTTGTAACCCAGCAGTTTATATCAGAGTTCAACTTAAAAAATGGGAACAAGTTATTGGTGTACCTTGGGCCATAGTATTTCTCCATTCTGTAAAATGGTGTCTGACAACTCCCTATGAATGGGTGTTAACTAGTCTTATCTGCTTGCTGTCTAACTTTGTAACTATACCAGGCATGAGAAGCCGGTCACATGAAAATTCCTTTCCCACTCACTGCAAACATCAGGTTACTAGAGCTTACTTCAACTGCTAACATAAGCACAACTCAACTTGGCTTCTTATCAAGTCCTCCTTAGACCAGGCTTTCCCAGGCAAGTTAAAAATACTATGCATGATGCAGTAGCTGTATGTAATGGAAAGTCTAAAGCTGCCCATGGCTTGTCGGGTCAGGTAAAGCCATACAGACCAAACAAAGATGGTGCTAAATGAGTTTCTGAAGAATAACCTTCCAGGTGTCTTATGTTCAGCTATTCTGATCTTCCTTCAGGGTTTTTCTTCCCACTAACTACACACATAGCTGTTCTTGCCAGCAGTGTAGTGTTCTGTGAGATGAACTGGGTCTTCTGTAAACTGACTCTACCCATCTACAATGTAATGGACATGAACAAAGGCAGATTGAGTGGCAACCATGCCTCCCTCTGATACAATGGAAGAAAGCATAGCCAGCTACAGAGTGCTTATAGCATTACTAGGTGGGGGGGTGACAGGAAACTAAGGCAGGTGCTTTATTTGAAGACTGATGAGCTGCAATATGGTCTAGCTTTTGGGGTTGGATTTCCTCTTTATAGGAACATTCAGAATGCAAACAGCCAGGCTTTAATTTGGCATCTTTGTTGGCTGTACTCTTTAAATTGGTGTAGTTTTGGAAGCTTTAAGGTGGCCATACACTCTACAACCATCGCAAGACTTTAGTCTTGCGATGGTTGTAAAGGGATTAAAAAAACGTACGATCTGCCTATCTTGGACAGGCAGATCGCACTCTCGATCATCGCAAGCCCGCCCCCCTTGAGGGGCGGGCTTCCGATGACCGCAATGCTGAACGGGCAGTGTGCGCACACCGGCCCGTTCAGCATTTATCTTCCGAGCACCGTTCTAACAAGCCGAGAATCGTACGATTCCCGGCTGGTTTTCGAACATGCTGGTTCGACAGAAGACGTGCGACCGTACAGTAGAAACGGTTGCACGTCTCCGTTCACACTGCTCGATTATCGTACGAAAACCCGATCGCATACGATTATCGTACGATAATCGTGCAGTGTATGGGCACCTTTAGAATTGAAAACCTGAATGTATAAACTGGATAGCTTGCATCAAGTTCTTCCCTTCTTGAAATGTGACTAAATGTTAGCCTTTTGAATAGCACTGCCATGTTGCTTTTCACTGCAACCTAAATGATTGGCCTATGTGAAGGTTACAGTACTAAATGTATGGCCAGGTTAAGTGTAGCATGCTTTAACACTTTCACTGCTACTAACATAAGATGTACAATAGAATGGGACTGCTTCAGCTGATGAGCTCGGTATGCCCAATGTCAGCTGCATTCTGGCAAACTACATATCCCACCATGCATTTGCTTCTAGAAGCCATGCCTGTGGCAGGCTTGCAGTGCCTTATGAGATTTGTAGTCTCACCACAACTGCCGGGCCATCATTTGGCTGCCCCTGCCATAGACTGTCCTACATCTGCACTAGGGCTGCAACAACTAATCGACATAATCGATTATAATCGATTTATTGAAAAAGTTGTCAACTTTTTCAATCGATTAATCGGCTTCCGATCAGTTGGACCCAGCTAAACAACTTTTAAATCTACTTTTGTCAAGCTGGATGGCATTTGCAGGCCCACCCATAGCTGGAATTTCTGCCAATTTGCACAGTCTATGGGCAGCTTTAAGTTGGAGTTGGAGATGGAGGGTAGCTGGGTCAGTAGTTTAGCAAGAGAACACTGGGCAGGGCTGACAACACTCGGTCCACTAAAAAGCTGTGTCAGTCCACAATAAAGAGCGGAGTGCATATCTTGCAGGGTATCTAAAGAGATAAAACATGGGGGGAATGTGCATGTATTGCATAGATCTATTTTGCCCTGACTCCAACTCTAGGAAACATGTCGGTTAGCCCTGAACTGTACAACTTGCAGAACTTTCTGAACCGTGTTCAGTTTACCTAAAATATCTGAATCTGACTTGTTTGGGTAAAACATCAGCTTGTCAGACTATTGATGTACTGTGCTGTCCACAGCATAGTTACCTTAGTTTTGTAAACTGAGAGAAACCCTTGTTTGTGTGGAATGTGCCTGTAGCAAGTCGTGAATGAGCACTTTATATTGTACAAAGCATACTGGCATCTGCTAGCAGATCTACATGACTAACTGGGACATCATCCAATTTTTGGGTGGAGTGATCAGTTCTCGCATGAATGTGCAATCTGTGCTAAACCTCCTGAATCATGACTCAATGCGCACAATCAGCATTTTCAGATGGATGTGTTTAACCTAAACTTGATCTGACAAGGATGTGTGACTTTTTTTTTTTTTTTTTTTTTTTTTC